GTCAGAGACACAAGCTTTTTACATTGTCTTTAGCACGAGGAGTACAAAGAGCTCAGTGTGACTGTCTTCCGCTCTAACCTATTGAGTTATGTCTCTCCTTACCAGTGGAGAAAGGAAAAATTACACTGAAGTGTAAGGGCAGGCTTTGCCTTCAGCACCTTTGAGAGTTGCTTTTCAGAACGGGGATGTCTCCTTGCATTGTAGCATGATGCTGAAGACTGCTAGTTAGACCTATGTGTCTGGAATTTTTAACACCTCTATTACATAATTTCACACACCCTGCCTAGGTATCTCCAGTCCAACAGATCTGAGAGCCTCTCAGTTCGGTTTCTTTGAATGATCCTCTGGCGACGGGACTGCTGACAAAATCCGTACAGGAACTGAGTCAGCTGGTTGCATGATTCATCAGGTGAGCGGAACCTCCTGTCAACTATGTAGATGCCTGAAGGACACAAAAAAGGTGAAGATGAATGGAACTGAAAATGGGATCTGACCTCTTACATTTTCATTCTGCCTTCTGTCACACAGTCTTACAAACATTACATGTGTTATATGTTCTTTTTAATGTTAGAAGGCAGCTGTAACCAGAACGTTTGTTACTTTTTTGATGGAATGGAAAGCTGCAGAGAAATATGTATTTTTTATTTTAATTTTTTTTTTTATCTTTCAAGCTGAAATTCAGTAAATTATTCAAAACTCAGAGGCTTTGTTGTCGTGTAAGTATGTCCAAAAGGATTCAAGAATTTCTGGATAAAGACATATTATGTTATCTCCCACAATTTTTAAAATACTGACTGCTTAAAAAAATAGTCCAGTGCTTTCCTAGTTTGCAGTAGAATTTAGAAGTGTGGATGGTCAGAATCAGCCTGTAGGAGAGAAGCTGTGTTTTCTGTAGAAACACAAGTGTTTCCATAGAGATAGCTAACTCACATACATTAGTCAATATACAATTCTGGCAGAAAGAGGGCCAAGGTAAACTTTGCCTTTACGTAATTTGTCAAGATCAATATTTTATTCTTGCCGGGTTCCTTACACCAGGGCGTTGGGAAAAAGAGGGTACTAGACTTCAGATATCTTAGGGGACAAGACAGACGCAGAACTACCTTAACTGAAGTGCCCAGTGTACCCTAGGAATGTACAATAAGTTATGTCAATGCTCACATTTATGTTTTGGCAGAGAAGAGCAAGTGACCTGTGCTCTCCGTCTGTGACCTTTCTGAAGGCTCTCAAAGACATGTCTACCCAGGCAGGCGCAGCTATATTTTGCAACTGGCTCTACCCCCGCCTCTAAACCAGGGCATAGTTGGTACAAGTATGGAGCTGTCATTGCCTGACTGCGCAGACAAGCCAAGGTACTTAGAAAGAGACCCTAGTTTGGACACATTGTCAATATTGTCTTGATACACCAGGAGTTGGCTACCCTCCTCCTTAAAACACTCCAATCATGAACCATTTCTAAACCTTTATGAGCAGATTCTTATTTGTAAGTACGTTCCTTTTATTTTCACAGGTTTACTTTTTAGTGTACATGATAATTTACCCTTTGTTTGGTGGGCGCAAGTTTCACTGGCCTCGAGGTCCCAGCACATATTTCTTGGACTACTCAAAAAGAAGCAGATTTTTCACAGGCATTAAAGGGAAGTGCTGGGAGACTCCAGAGTAGGTATGAAGAGCACTGAGCTTGGAAGGATGAAGCAGACAAAAGCTTAAAGGCAGACAAAAGAGAGAGAACCTGGAAAGGGTTTGGATAAATATAAAAGCTTGAATGGCTTGTTCAACATAATGAGATGTTCAGAGCTCTGAATATATTCCCCCAATTAACTCCGTTGCACTAGTGAAAGCATGAAATTGAGGAGTAACACAATTGCTGCTGTGCTTTTTGCTTTCTTAACTCAGAGGTGGAATTTTGATATGGTGTTTAAAATGTTACCATAAGCCGCTGGGTCAGCAACATGTTCCTGCATGAAACAGCCAAATCCAGAAAGGTTTGTGGTTACACTGGGAATGCCCATCACAGTACATTCAGCTGCCGAAAGAAACAGACAAAAAGCGTTTCAGGGAAACATGCTTTCAATGGTTTCACCTTGAGAGAAAAAAGAAAAAGAAACAGGCAGACAGAAGGTCCCATAACACTAGAGCTGCTCTGAAAATGTCAAGTGAAAACTATTATGCTTTGCTGTGGATTTGGAGAAAAAGAAAGAAAGAAAGAAAAAGAATTTTTTAAAGAGAAAATTTCACACTGTTTTTATGAACATCTTTGTGTTTCCCAGCAGCTAAACTGAAAACTTTCTGGGAGTCCAGTGCTGAAACAGAGAACTGCAATATATGGTCTGGACTGTTTATTTGGATTTTAAATTGAAGCTTTTTGTACATATATGTTCATTAGTTGTTCACAACTATTTACAAAAATTAATCTCTTAAGTGCAGGAGCGTGTTAAACTTTGTATTTTGATATTCATTGTTTGTAAACTGATCCCTATAGCAAGAAAAAAACCCAACAAACCCCATCATTAACTCAGGACTGCATTCAAATTACTTGTGGAGCTAGTTTTATAAAATTAGAAAATGCATGCATCTTTTGCAGTTATTTCTATCATTGTTGTGAGTAAGGATAACTGTTTACTCAGGCTTAAGGAGTTTTTGCCAATGAACTTAAGCCTAAACTAAGCATGCAGATAAAGTAAATACTCTAGTCTTTGAAATGCTGAAAGCCATCCACATGGCCTTGATTAATATGACGATAAAACTGGTGTCCATAAAATAGAGCTAGAAACCTACCCTAAAAAAATCATGTTTTGTTTCTTTTGCATTAGTAATGGAAAGAGAAACTATCCCTTTAACTAGTGTAAATCACAGCTTTCCTCAAAACTGCTAAGTACCAGTCTAACTTTTCTGTCCAGGTTTACTTTAATGTTCACTTCAAAATCATCCCTGGATGTCACACTTTCTTTATACCTTAGCTGAGATTAGAACAGGAAGAGAAATTGCCAGAATGCACAACAGTTGTCTTGCCTGGAATTGAATAGATCTCTTACCCGGAGGGAAATAGCTCTGGAGAATGACTAAGTTTGCAAAATTTCTATTCTGATTCATTTGCTTACAACAAATGCTCTTCAGAGGGGCACCCCAACTTTTGGATGTGTATCAAGATGATAGAAGTTATTCTGGAGGACATAAAAAGCCCACACACCTAGGCTTCGATCTTCACAGGTATTCAAATTCGTAGTTTGCACTGATTTCCTCAGGTGTTAAGTGCCTTTTGTAAATCTGGGGCAACTTTTTAAAGTCAGAAACTACATGTTCCCTGTATCTTTAGACATTTCCATTTAATTCTGTGAGATTCTTTACCACTGCATGCATTTGTGGTAAATATCTTAGATATGGTGGTACATAATTCTATGAAACTTAATTGTTATCTTGAATTACATCCACTGAAGTATGTCAGCTGGTAGCATCAGATTTCTTGCCCTATTTTTTTCCATATGTACACTCCACTAAATCTTCTTATAAAATCCTTGAATCAAGTTAAGAATTAAGTTTAAAAAATGATTTTTTGTTCTAAAGCCACAGAAAATCAAAAGATTACATGTTAGTATGGGAAAGGGTCCAGCGCAGGGACAAATGTGAGTAGTTGCCAGTCAGTAGATGCCATTTTATACCACCTGGCCCCAAATTTTTGCCAGCAGTAAGACCTTTGCACTGCAGAGGAAACAGAGCCAAAAGAGTTTTTTCAGCACTCCAGAAGAAACTGGCTGGAAAGCTATTCTGCATCAACAGAATGGGGTATTCATCTTTTGATACTAGTTAAGTGTACAGATTGCCTACCTGGAGTGTAACCCCAGGGTTCATAGTATGATGGAAATACACCAAGGTGGCAGCCTCTGACAAACTCCTCATAGTCCAAGGGCAGCAACGGGCTTGTCGAAGAAAGAAACTCTGGATGTACGATCACCTGGATATTCAAAACTTACATTAGAGGTGAAAGAAAACCATCATCAATACACTTTAATTATCAATAAGGGTAAGCAATTTCATCATTCTGGTCTTTCCTAGGTATCTGGACAACACCTCCTTTGCCCATCTGTTACCTAATTCACTTCCCACACTAAAATGAATCCTGCCTATGTGCAGTCTTGTCCTGGAAACAGTACTGATAATGAATGCTTTTTCTGGACAAATTTTCAGCTTTGTTCTTGTTGATCAAGGAAGACCATGTGCATTGAGAATTATGCCTAAGGCTGTGGTATTTAGCAATACTAAATTTGTTCTCCTGGTCTGTTGTACCAAGGTACACAGTCTTGGGGTGTCTTGTTCCAGAGGAGGATACAGCAGGAGGATACAGCACTTATGTGCTTCACAGCATCCTCACTGAAATACAGGAATGCTTATGGTACTCAAGAGATCTCCCCAGAACTGAGAGAATTTTGCAACCAGACATATTATAGCCCCATCATCACAATCCTGTGCCTAGGCTAACTAATCTTGCTGAAAGACAAAGCTTATTAGCTTAGGCTAATGTCCACCTTCAGGACCCAGGCTAATTTATCTGCATGACTCTGCAGGGCGTGGGGTCACTGCCCCAAATTCCACTGCTAAGTAGAGAAGTGCCTTGTGTATGCCGTCCAGTCAGCTTTGGGAGGAAGAAGTGTGAGAAGGGTTTAACTTCCTCTGTGCTTTTTTCCCCATATAAACATACTGCAGCCATTATTCCACATCAAGGATATGCTTTTATCCTTTCTTAATAATATACTAATGCTACTCACTTGAGTAAATCAACACATGAACGTATTCAACATGTAAATGGGCTGTAAACTCATTATGCAAGCCTATTTGATCCCAGTGCTTTCCATTGGCAGTGCTGAGGCTATTTTTCACATTCCAATTGTGTCTGCATGGATATGTCATACATCTCTCAAACTGACTTTCCATTTGAAGTTTACAGAATTTTTGTCCATGATATTCAGCTCATCAAGTATGACGCCAGTTCATGCAGCAGGTAATTTTCCAGTGGTAATGACAGTTTTGCACAAACTTGACATATAGCTAGCCAATCAAGTCTGCTGAGAAGCAGGAAGAGGTGTCTGCGGTGTTATATGCTATCTGCTTTCTAATGACTTAGTTCTGAGGAATTTTTTATTACATTTATATACAGTGCATCCTTCCACCCTACTTTTGTTACATCTAGTATATAGGACGAGGGGTAATGGCTTCAAACTGGAAGGGGGTAGATTTATAATATCTATTAGGAAGATATTTTTCACTGTGAGAGTGGTGAGGCACTGGCACAGGTTGCCCAGAGAGGATGTTGAGGCCCCATCCCTGGAGGTGTTCAAGGCCAGGCTGGACATGGCCTCGGGCAACCTGGTCTAGTGGGAGGTGTTCCTGCCTACGGCAGGGGGGGTTAGAACTCGATGATCTTTAGGGTTCCCTCCAACTGTAATCGTTCTATGATTCTACAATTATTACCATATTATGCTCTCAGAGCTCTTTGGAGACACATGCTTAGTAGAGAATATGTTGAGCCAGGAAGAAGCAACTAAGAAGTTGAGGGGAATGTTTACTCAATTATTGTCACAGGTTTAAGAGCCAAAACACTTCGAACAAGTCATATGTCATTGTCAGAGATACTACGGATCTGACTTTAAAAAGAAGGCTTGGAAGAGGAAGTATTTGCAATTTTAGGTTCTACTTTGAATAGATAGACAATGAGATAGTCATAGTCAACAGAGAGAATGCCAGAGATTGCCAGACCAAAAAAAGCTTTGGGAGACTTGTGAGTGGGAGCTGATCATTTCTGTGGTCTGGCAAGATAGACATGGAAGTAAGGAAAGGAATTATTTACACACATTTAGCTTCACCAGTGGATGTAAACACGAGCACAGCATGAACAGGAAGTATTTCTGCTCAGGATCAAAGCCCTGGTTATCTTCTACAGCAAATGCTGAGTGTCAGCGCGCTGTTCTTAAGAGATGAACCAATACTCCAGAAACATCTATGCTCAAGTTCTGGACCTCCAGTTTTAAGCAAATAAGCCTGTTACAGAGTTTTACACCTGGGTGCAAACGACCTGTGGCACTTTCTGGATTTCAGGAGTAGTAGTGCCTCATTCAGTACAGGAGGCAGCAATGAAAGCAATTGCCTAACATCAGATTTCTAACTTGAAATTAACTTGGTTAAACAGCAACTGAGGACATCTGTGAAGTGACTAGCTGTTATTCCTGGAAAAGGAGGAAGAGGGAAGAAGTACTCTATTAGTATAATATTGGCCATTAAGAATTTGACTGCACTCTCCATGCTAATGATCCAGACTGAGATTGTTTAAAGAAATTCCATTTTACATTTATACAAAAATGACAGAATGTACCTTTACTCTGTCTGTCCGGTTATTGAAAAGGCCAATGCGTCGGATGGTATTGAGGATTGGATCATTGCCATCATCAATCATGTTGTGGGTGGTCACTGGAGGCAGACAGTGTCGCTAAAGAGAGAAAAGGCAATCCATAAGCAAGACAAAACTGTTGGCAGAGTCCTGTTACTATTTTCTTAGGTCAGTGGAAGACAGTGGGAGATTTTGTCATCGATGTGGATAGGTTTTTACCCTTTCATTTTAAGGCAAGAAAGGAAAGTTACGCTCATATAATGTTGTCTTCTATGTAACTAAAGACACAAATGAGACCATAAAATCTGTCACAGGACTTGGTTCATTTACCTCAAAATAAATGTATTTTTACTAACTTTTATAGAGGCCTACCATTTAATTTTAAAGGCTTTTAGTCAATACGTTATGTCTCCTTAAGAGACTGATTTTACATATTTAATAAAAATGGAAGAATCAAGGTTTCAGGAACAATGCAAAGTTCACGCTTTGTGCAGAAGAAAATAATTAGGAATTTTGAGGTCCTGCATGTGACTGGGGAAATATCCACAGATTCCCCAAAAGAACTAGTGTGGATCATGCTCTTATTAAAAACAATCACAGCTGATCTTTAAATGTTACTGCTGAGAAGTACATTTGCTGAAAACTTCTTTTTCAATGCATGCATATCATGGTATGTCATAAACAATCCTTGTACATAGTCATGTTTATCATTTATACTAGACATTTGCGTAAATAATACATTTTCTGACCTGAGTTGAAAAGATGGCTCTTTTCATAATGGTTATATCATCTCGGTCAAGAATCTTGTTCAAGTCTGGAATTTCTCCTCTGCAGAGGCAACACAAAGCCTATTTTACCAAATGACTTATTATCAGTTTTATAAAGAAAATGAAGAAACAGCAAACAATGTCTGATCTGAAGTCTGCTGACATCAACATGAATCTTTCCTTTGTTTTCATGGCCCTTCTGTATTCCCTACATTTTGTTCTCCCATACACTTGCTGACCTTCCAATTAGCTTACAAAAAAAGCTAAAGAATTCTCTTTTTTTCTGTTTTTCAGACACCCAGTTTTTGCTGAAGTTCCAGTCAGCTCATCTGTGATTTGGGTCATTCACTTCCAACTGTCTTTTGAAAGGATATGACTAAGCCACTAATACATATTACTGTGTCTCTGGTGCTTTTCTAAGCTGAGGTAGCTAATTTTTGACAGTGAGTAAGCTTTTGTATTACTTAGACATGCCCCATATCTCTAAAGACTCTTTCTACAATGGGGTGCTAGCACCTTTACATTTTTTCTCTGCGATCTGCCTATTGAACAAGTAGCCTGTATATGGAACAGAGGATCCCACATTCTTCTCCTATGCCCTTCCTATGGATGTGAAAATTTCTTACACAAAAAGCAGAAGCACAGAAACACCACAGGTAAGCCAGCTGAACACGTGGCTCTGCAAGGCAGAGCAAAATAACCTATACACTCACTTTAGCAGGGCATTGTAGAGTTTCTTTCCAAACTTTTCTTTCACAGATTGTGCAGTGTCCCTAGGAAAAACAATAAACATATGTATAAAACAGGAGAATCCAGGACAAAGACAGAATAAAAGAGATTCCTGCTATTGGAAATTAAATTTTGCTTTTGTGTATACTGATGGAATCAAGAATGCAGCAGCAGACAGAGGTCTGGTTCTCAAAGCTCTTTTATCCAGCCAGCAGCCATACTGATGCATTTCAACACAACTGAGGATTTGACCTTCATGCAAAGATGAACGCACTGTGAAAGCCAGGAGCAGACCTCACTAGTGATTACTTCTAATATTTTGCTCTGATCAGTACACCACACTTTCATCTCAGCTATGAAAAAGAGAGCATATATATGACTCTGTGTAGAGAAACACGATCATTAACATTGGACACTAATCAAGACTGAGAGGTCTCCAATTGAACTTGACCTAGTAGATAGATGTAAGTTAAAAGAGTTAAATAAACAGAGATTTTAAAGCAAGCTTCTCCTTTCACTTTCTGCCCTATTTCTTAATTTAAAGACTTTTGAAAACAAGTTAGAAAACAACTTGAAAACAAGTTAGACTAAAAGGTAGTTTGCTATAAATTAATTGGCAAACCAAAAAAATTCCTGGAAAGCTCATGCCATGTTTTAAGCTAATAATAAAGCCTGTGCCAGACAAATGTTACATTTTAGCTAAGAAAGAACTCCAGTAAGATGAACAATATCCAAAACTTAACCCAGATAGGACAGACTGCTTTTTCAGAAGCAGAGGAAACAAAGAATTTTATATCCCAGATCAGCCATTGTCTATTCCTTTACAAGTGCCAGCCTCTTCTTGTGTTTAATTTCTGTGGCACCCTTAAAATCATCTAATACGATTATGTAATACTGATATCAGGTGGTTGCATTCAGGAGCTCCAGATTATGATAATGCTGCATACGATGATGCAGAGGGTCTCTTGCTTTTCACAGAACACAGTGAGAAGAATAGCTGGAATTTTTGCATAATTCCACATCTTTAGGTTTACCTTTACTGTTACTATTGTGCCTGCATCATTGAGTACTAGAGAAATAACCATGTAGTAGAGATACAACAGGGAAAAACTTTTGCATATTTCTTTTAATTTAAACTTTCCTAATATCCTTATATTATTTATTTAATATGTACCTGGTTTATTATATTCAAACTTTACACACTTTATCTCAAAGACAAAGTAGAGACCAAAAGCACTTGTTGCAAGCATGGCTGTTTCTCACTGCACTCACATTATTTTCCTGCAGTTCTTGCGTACAGAGTTCTCATGAAAAACTCCAGCTATGTTACCCGGCTTTAGCCATCTACAGTTTAAGCTAATTGTGCAGATCCTCCACACATCTGCAGAGGGCGACAGTCCATTTCAGAGGATGATTCCCTTCACTCATCTCTTCCTGAAATGGTATAGGGTGGAAGATCATTTGGAGGGAGCCATCAGTCTCCACTGGCAGTGAAGGCAGCTCAGATGCATTACTTTTAGGAAGCCACAGTTGGACATTTAAGTCCAACCTCTACATGTGTGGTACCTGTTTCCACAACGGTAACCAGGTAGAATGTTTCCTGTAAGTCCCAAGAAGCTGCTGTGTGGTGACTGCATAGATAATCTAGGGAGTAGATAGATTTCTCATATCTGTCTCCTTTTCCAGATATGGCAAAAGCTAAATGATTCAATGATCCTTGTTAAACTATTTCAGTCACTGTTTTTGTGCAGGTTTAGTATCCGTTGATCAAAGACTGCAACTTGATTGCTGATATCCAGAAACTGAGCCAGAGATCATCTGCTGGAGGCAGTTAATGAGATAACAAGAAAAATAGTATCCTTCTCTTACACAGTGCCTTTCATGTACAGATCTCTAAGTCGTTTAGATTTCTATCATTTTATAAATATAGAACTGGCATCAGAAAGAGGTTAAACAGAGTGAGACACAGGCATAAAAGAAGCTAGGTCTTGTGGGTTTTAGTCCCCTAGCTTTAAGACCAGCTTCCTTACTTCTGCAGCAGAGTTTAACCACTCTTGCCACCTGATAAGGTGCACATTTCCACTTCCCTGCTTAGATAATTAATCTGTAAATATGTTGAGTGAAATGGCATTTTTCACTTTTCTAAACAAAATTCATCCTTGATAACCTACCACTGATTTTCTTTATGAATTTGAACCTTCAGTTTTGCCATGTCTCTCAGTTTAGAAGTACCTCACAACATGTGTCTTTTCCTATGTAGAATCACATAGCAGTTAAAGTGAGGTGAGGGTTAAGTCCGCTCCTGCTTTGCTTTTTTGTTCGGGAAGTTGTAAAAGAAAACTGTTAAACTGAGAGCGGCTGTGACAATTTTCCCTGTATAACTGTAAGTTTTACTGCTTGAGTATGGCTATTGCTTATTGTAGGCTACATAGAAAATTACACACAGTTTTTACCAATCGTTATTCTGCTGGATTAGACAGTACAATGTCCATATTTCTAAATAAGAAAGGATGTGTATTTAGTTTCTTTTTCCCACTGGTGGCAGAGAAGCTTACTCTGATAAATTAGCAGGCGGTCCTTATTTTGTGGAAGCTCAATGGCATGTCCAAAGGGAGTATTAGAAACAGTCAGAAGACATCCAGAACGCTGGATTTTCTAGAACCTTTGATTTTGTCACCGCAAAACAAGTATTATTTGCTAACTTGTTACAAAGAATGGCAAGGCAAGTTTACTAAAAATAAGCTAGGACAAAAAAAGATAAATATTTGCCCTTATTTGTCATTCCCATCTCTGTGATCCTCACAAATACATTCTAGTTATGTACAATCCTTGATTTTGGCAGAGCAAAAATAGAGCATTATTCAGAAACTTTTGCATGTCTCCTCAATTCACTGTATAAGGTGCTCAGTGAGAATGGCAATTACCAGAGCTGCTTCCGGACTGCTTGTCCTTTCAGGGTTTCCACATTGAAATTGTTTGTCTTTGCTGGCATGATGAAGAACACAACAACTGTAACATCAGTCTTATGAACCTACATGGACACAAGATGGAGAGAAAAAAATAAATCTCACTACAAGGTATCACAGCCAACTTTAACAGTAAGAATTAGTTGCAGGAAAAGTCAATGCACTTTGATTAGTTGTCCAGGAAGGTTCTGATCTTATACCTCTCCCTTTAGCTATGAAGTTTTGTCAAGTCAGAGTTATAGCTAAGGATAGATACACATAAACAGATGTCACCCAATTCCAATTTGAGTACTAGAGATCTTCCTGACTTCTCATGGTTTAGAGGCCATGGCTTAGGATGTGAACGTAAATGGCACAGAATAAAAAACCTACACACGTTTTCTCACCTGACACAAACTTTGTTGGCACAAAGTAGTGAGCAATTAGTTTACTAGCTTGAGTATGCCCAGGCATGGGGCAAGCAGAACTACCTTCTACAGCAATAGCACCCCAGATGTATGAGCAGAAAGAAGCACGATAGCAACCACTGTCTACCTGAACCCCTGGCAAAGAACCTGCCAGACACACAAAAAGCTGCAAGTAATTTCTTGTTCATCTCCCATCCACATACTGTAAAGGTAAAAAGCACTGGTTGTAAAATCTGACCCTTGGTTTATAGTTTCACTTGCTGGTTTCTCCTGTCCCCTAACAAGATTCAGAATCCCAGGTCCCAGAGGGATACCTCACGTGGAGCAGAATGGGGCTGTACTCCTGTCAGCAACTATCTAAAGAAAAGCTAAGGGTAAACTCTGTTCAGAGCTGTAAAAATTAAATTATTTTGAATTGCCTCCATTCTAAACTTTGGACACAAACATGTTATGAGCATGCCTTCTATCAGATTGAGGTACAGGGAAATGTATAGTATAAAATAAACTACGGGACTCATCTATCATCAAGGTTCTTCTTTTCCGTCTCTTTAGGGCAGGTTCAAAGTCCATGAGGTTATGATCTCAACGTGTATTAACAATCTGTCCCAACATTCACATTTTATTTCCAAAATGTTAGTAATATTTTCAGGTAGCAAAGGAAAAGGACTCTATAAAATAAAATAATTCCATCGAACGCTATGTATTTTTTAGGTTCAGACACACCACTGGGACTTGTTTAAGAAACATCATCGTTCCCAGATTCACAAGTAGTACAGGTATTCAGCTGTTCCCAATGGAATTACCTCTTGAAATAATTGCAGAGCAAGTGTTCTTTGAACAGCTAATCAGGTGCTGGCATGCATGTTGGAACAGTAATGCAAGAAAGCCAGGCCCAGCTTATGGCAGAATATGGGAGAAGCAAGTCCCAGTACACTGTTCTGGAGAGCTTTGGAAAATTAGCCTCAGTTTCCTTTGACTTTCAATCAGCCTAGCTTGTCATTGATGCCATATAAATCACTAGATACAATAAGAGATTGCTGCAATCATTGCTCAAGCAATTCTTTCCCTCTTACCACATAAGACCTTCCTCATTATCAGCATTTATAGTTAATAGCTATGTAAATGCCACTAAAAGGGAGCTGAAGTTGCACAATATTGCCAAACAACAAAAGTCAGTTGTTGGCCAAAGTTGTGGAAGAAATACTTAAGTTATGTGAGGTGACCTGTTGTGTGAGTGAATGGATTAAGTATTTCCAGAAATTCCACCGGCTGTATTGGTGTATTAGAACAAGAGTACTTAGGGCTTTGAAAATTAGTATTTTTTCAGCCCTGCTGACAATAAAGCATCAACATTTTTATCCAGTTTTTCCATATCATTTAAATGATAGACTACAAAAGACAGAGTCTGGGACAACAGCCAATTGATCCTTGCTAGATGACTGAACACTGGTTAGCATTTTTTAAATTTTTTATTTTAAATGTCTCAGTCTTTGGGACACATTTGGAGACGTTTTCAGTGACCTTATTTATAGGTGGTAAGCGCTCTGCTCTTTGATCATGACAAGGCCTAGGACTTATCTTCATTAAAGTACTCCATAAAGGCATTTTATAAACATTGCACTCATTTTTTACCTGAGGAAACAGAAGCATGGAGGTGTGAGTGACTTCTCCACGATTATTCATCAGGCCACTGCCACACTGAATTTTAATGCAAGATTCCCATTCAATGCGATAACAGTACTCAAAGATCTAAAAGATCATGGTCAGGTCTTAATGAATTAAACAATTTGCTTAAAAAGATACTTTAAAATTGCATCATTAAAATTTTTATTTGCCTTCTAATATGTAAACCTTCAGGGCAAATTCTTGAGTCATATTTTCAGTACTTTTCTCTAAAACCAAGGGAGGTAACCATGGATTAACTTCTTGAACTATGAATCAATTATTTTTAAGCAGCCTGAGATTGTTATATATAGTCTGATGATTCAGGGAGAGAGCTTTATGAAAACTCTGAAAATCCTATAATTGTTTTCCTATAAACCGGAGTATGGCATGGAAATTCTTGCAGGTGACTTCCATAGCATGGTAAGTTTCAGCATAAGCTCTATGTTATCTACATTTGCAGAAGCTTTCTTACCCTCAGCAAAAAGTTTAATCTTGATAAGGCTTCTAGAAACATATCAGCTCCTTTGTTGGAAAACTCATATCTCCCAGCAATGAAGAAAAATAAGGTCTTCTCAAGACTGAAGTCAAGGTGGCTGAAACCAAGCAAACAAACAGAGAAGCACAAAGTATTTCTCAAGAAATAATAAAACAAAACACACAACAGCTTTCTATTCTGGAGGACTTTATTATCCCAAGAAAATAACGAAAGTGAGGCTTTTCTGCTTTTCTTTAAATTGACTATCTTAAGCTGATAAACTGCATCTTGGGTAAATAATGAAATAATGAAATCAAGACCTTCTGCCTGATCCCACAATCTGTTAAGCAGAGTTAGAACTGGTGTCTAAAATTCCTTTAGTCTCTGACTGAGAAATCTCAGACAGATATTTGAATAAGTTGGTAACATTTCACCTCCTCTATGAAGTACTTGTTGGTCTTCCTGCTTTGGTTCTTGCTTTAAATAGTGTTGGACAACCATTGCTAATTTTTGAAAAGTAAAAGCATACCCATAGAAATGACCTCGAATGAACTCTTGGATCCTAGCCTTGTACATGGAATGCAAATTCTGAAACTCATGCATTGCTGAAAATTTCTTAATGTTCAAGCCATTTGGGGTGACAACATCTGGAAAAGCAGAGAAAAGGCAGAGGTAGACATCTTCAGAGTCAGAGAAATCTTTAAGGAAAGAACCACCGTGTCTTTCAGTTGTCAGCATGTGAACAGGTTATGTACTCTTATTACTCATGGATAGGGAACAGCACTGTCTAACACAATGGTCTCCACCAGCTTACTCCACAAAGCTATTTCATGTGGCACTCGACTCTCTATACCATTGAAGTGGCTTTGTGCCATTTTGACCTGTACTCAACAACTTGCTGAACAGTGAGGTCTCCCCGTGCCCTTTTGCCCTCTCGAGACTTAAGTAATGTCTCCATTTAGCCATATGCTTTTTGTGCAATATGCCCTTTACCTCTTTATTCTTGATATCACTGTTGCCTGCTTTATCACTATAAATTGAAAGATCTTGAAAGCAGAAACTGTGCTGTACTATGTACTTGTTTACTGCATTGCACAAGAGAGGTGTGTTTTGTCAAGACTTCTGAGGATTTATCAGAAAAGAGAGAATATAAGAAAACTTTTTAAAAAGATCACCCTTCGGTAATCTGTTGGATTTCTCTTAAAGATAGCCACAGAATAGTATGATTTACACTTTTTTGTCTGCTCTCCTCAAAGACTCCAAAACATCTTACAATTAAAATTTGTTCATTTCCAATATCTGCTAAGATAGAGATATAGGATATAAATAGAGTTATAAGGATAGCATAGCTTGTTCCAACCAACACTGAAATTCAGTCACTCTTCACCTTTCTGGTAGAACACAGCAGCTGTTTAAAGGCTTGCCCTAAATCTAGCTGAAGTAAATGAAGAGAATGTCATATTCTTTTCTTTGAGTTGGCTTGTGAAAGCCATTTCTGCACATGAAAGTGGAGGCCAGTTCCTCAGCAGAAGTATTTCATAGTAACACAACTGGCTTCAGTAGACTTACACTAATTTATGATACCAGAGATCCTTCAAATATAAAGAATCTTCAAAGAAGCAAAAAGTGCTAATTATTAGAGGATGCACTGGTGCCGATTTCATATTTGTTCTCCTGGCAAGCATCATCAGGTGTCTAGTAACCACAACCATTGACTATAGTAATTTTAAAAGTTCTATGCATCATTCAAAGGACCTTCAGTAAGATATCATTCCCTACCACACACGGTTCGTGCAAACAAAACAACATCTCATTTGCTGTCAGTGCACATGGTTAACTACCCCCCCCCCATACATCAGAGTTATTCAGGGGAGTACAGTCTCTCACTTGCCACCAATACAGGACTTGAACATTACTTCTATTATGGACTTTCTGTCAAGGATGTCCGACATTCAGGGTTTCCCATCCCTGCCCCTAAAAGTAGAGGTTTGTATGTCTAGCATTGAGCATCTGACCTGATACAAAACTGTCCCTTATTTCTCGAGAGACTTAGGGAGACCTCTTTAAAACATCTATGGCTCCTCTGGTTGATTACATATCAAGATGGTCTTAAAACAAGTACAATCAGTTCTCCATATGCTGTCTGGTATATTTGCTTGACATTTTTCATGCAAATACCGCGGCCATTTTAATTACTTCCTTGAAATTTACAGTCCGATTTAGCATCATATGTATTTCTCTGCCAGGTAAGTGATCACTGATCACTCTTTCTCTTGTAAAGTGTTTTGATACCGTTTAGGTTAAATAGCAGTACATAAAAATATAATCTTTACCAGTAACCATGCAATACCAAAAATTTCAATGAACCTCTCTTGAAATACCACATTTCAAACTGAAGACCAGTCTTTACCAAGAAGTCTTTACTTGTTAGGTACTTGGGACTTGGTTCTCAGTGACAAGAAAGGAGAGTCTTGGTGGGCTTGACAAGAAAACTTATGTTCTTATCTTCTGCTGCCCAGCACCAGGGGCTGCGCTGAACAAAGCCCTGTGTGGCGTCATATGAGTGGGGGGGTCAACAGAGCAGAAACACCCTTCATTTCTCTTCATCTTTCCCAACAATATATAGTCTCCTTCCTCTGACCTGCTTCTTGTTCAGCATGGAAGAACTGGCTCATGCAGGACACAGCTTTGAGACTGCAACCACTTCCGGCTCTTCCCAACAAAACAAGAATCTTTGACTGGGTATTTCTGGCCAGTTTCCATCCACTCTCGCATTTATTTATCAGGGAGTTTTGGACACTCTCACCCACCAGCAGCAGCCTGTATATAACCTACTCCCATGTTCTTTGATTCAACTGCAGCTTCATTTACCCTTTCATGAGGATTGGTGCTCAATCCATCTCCTATTTAAGCCTTTCGGATAGAGAACAGACATGGTGGCACAAAGCATCCAGTTAACTATTTCTGTTCAACGTACGATAATATTTTGAATATGTGTGAGGCAAAGTGCCCTTGCCCTAGGGAAGAAATTATGAGAGAGAGCTTTGTTCCTATTTCAAGTGTTTTGGGGTTTTTGTTGTTTAATGAGTTAATGCTATTTTTGTTTTAAAATTGTCCCAAGTAGGTCAAATCAGAATGATTTGACTTTTGTACTTATAGGAGAGAAACTGACATTGATATAAGTAATAATAGCACAGTATGATGTTTTCTATTGATAAGCCACTAAGATTTAGGTTTGACTCATACTTTTTCGAAGTTTACTTCTGTGATTTTACATACAGATACGAAGTCTACATCTAGATTTTAACTGATACCTAAGCCTTTTGGAATTTTGATTCAAAGTCTTCTCTACCACTAATGAGAAATATGCTTCATATGTTTCATACGTGAATGAAAATATTAGAAATCCCGTATCAGTTTTCAAATCAGGGGAATATAATTATGATCACTGACAGAATCTTGCATGATATGTCAAAGAGAACAGGTTCAACAGTAGATATTCAAGCTTTTGACAAATATGGTTTGATAAATTATTGATCAAACAACAGCAGCAAGTGAAATCAGGGTAATGCAAGCAGTCATTCTGCCAGGTTTAGACTGGCAAATTGGCCTTTGTCTTGGTGCAAAAACTATCTATGCAATCATGTCTACTGAATTTTAAAAGGGCTTTTCCAAGTGATGAGATTTATAATTTAAAATATAGTCCAAGTTTAACATTAATGAGAAGTAGCAGATACTGCTTTGCTTACCACATTTTCTCAGTTATTTTTAGTTAAAAAATTTGTTACAAAGATTACCTCTAAATAAATTCAAATGCAAACAAAAGTTAATTGTGCCAATTCTGCATCCCTCTTCTAAAATTTTATTTTTAGAGTGTATCAAGAAGCGTACAAATTCTTTCAGTATTCATGTTCCTTTGCAGAATTCAAGCTTAATGATCTACTGAAGGATTGCTGAGCTTTCTGAATAGCCAATGTCTATGCTGATTTCACAACTTCGAAGAGAATAAATAGTATGAGAATGGACTCCTACACAGTTTATTTGTGGTCTAAGATACAAAGAAACTATTCCCATCAGAACATATTTTCCACTTATAACTGTATTCCTAGGATGTGGGGCACCAATTCCTATTGGATTTCTTTCTAGCTCTGTCAACATGAAGCATGATGTGTCATGTCAATTTTTAACCCAAACGTTAAATATATTTACTTGGTTTCTTCAAAGTTGCAAGAATAATAAAAAAAAATCTCAGGCCTGTGAATCTCTGTGCATGGAATTCTCTTCCGCTTCAACTGACGTTCTATCTGTGAGCAGTCTGCAGATTTTCTCTCCCAAATTAAACTGGATTCAGACTCATTTCAGTTTCCTAAAATCCCAAAACATAAACTATGATTTTCAAGAGTAGCTATTGTGGGGAGAAGCCTCATGCCAATATAAAACAGCTTCAAAAGTTGATTTTCAGAGATCAAGTGCTCTGCACTTGGTAAAATACAAGATCTTTCAGAGATGTCCAAGATTAGATGACTGAAAACCTAAATTACTTTTAAGACATGGCTGTCATGTTTAAAATAAAAAGGAAAGATCTCTTAAGTTCATCATCCTATTGACAATTTTTTGCAGTTTTTCCCCCATGATGCTTACCTGCAGATGGAGTATTATGGCTTGTCCTTATAAAGCACTGTGCTGATTTAAGGAGAATTTTAATGACACATCAAACTGGGATCATCAAACTCCATGCATGGAACATGACAAGGTTTGTAGGTAAGTGCTATATTTTATTAGACTAATACAAAGGGGAAAATCAGACAAACTGTTGGGCACATACCTTGACTATTTTTTCAAACTGTACTGGTCGGTCTATAGGAAAATATTATATGTATGAAACTTATCATGGTTAGGTCTTAAGATCATGATGGCTACAACCACGCTGCTACTCATAGCTGTGAGAGATATAGGGAAATAAACTGTATTGATTTACAGGTTTTTTGCCTTCTCATTTATTTCAATATTAAGTAAAGAAAAATAGCATTAGCACTGGAAAGCAAAACTTATCTAACATTCTGTTTTGTGTATGAAACTTTTTGCTACATTTCTAAAAGAATATATCACTCATCTCTAGCAAAGCAACAAACCTCACACTGTAACAGCTGGTGAAACGTATTACAAAGGTTGCATCTTCTGCTTTTATCAGTTGACGTGAATATATTACCATCACTGGAAACTCTGCTACAGACAAAACTTCTGAAGCTGAGATGTCCTTGCAAAGGAAGTCTAACATCCATGGCGTTAAACTAATGCTCTCCTGGAATAGTACTGAAAACAGTTATTAAATGGTGCTGAACTTGATTTCTTCTGGATTACATATGCTACTAGAAAGTGTTTCAAGTGATGTTATCTGCGCTTTTCTTTTGAAAATTGGTTATTCTCTCTAGTGTAGCCAGACATACCCATGCATGTGTCCTTGGTCTTCATGTTTGCATACCTGTCTCTATTATTTTCATTCAGTCTGAGGAAATGTAGGTACTTAGAGGAAATACAATAAGAACACAATTCAGGTCTTACCAGGATTTCTTTTAAGCATATGTTCTGCTTCTATAGCTGTTATCTGTGAGACTGTGGTGAACACATGGGCACAATGTACAGATGCCCGTTCCATACAGTACCGATGGTAAATCTGTCTCTCTCCTGCTTCCTTGTCAATGTCAAACTGTTAAATAATAAAACAAAAAAGATACCTGTGTGACATGCTCATCAGACTTATTACCACAAAGAAGGTCTCTCGTGTTAAGCTTGATTTCCCCAGGGAGTAAGAATCATGTGATTATTATGTTGGTTTGTCTTTCTGTTTTTTGAACCATTTTATCAACTTCAAAGAGTTTGAAGAAGTAAGACATGTCTCAGTTCCTGCATGATAGTGAAAAAAAAATGGCAGCTCTGCAATGGAGCAAGACCCAGACTAATGATCCCATGAAAGGTAAGGATCTGTGCTATTTGGCAATATGTCATCTTGCAATCTTGCTTGGGCTTGTTGAAAAACTTGGGAGAGCAGGGAAGTGGCTGGTAACTGAGGGTGTAGGGGAGAGAAAAAAAAAGGAATGGGGATAAGGAGAGAACCTGAGGACTGGGTAGAATGGTGAGAATCATGGATAGGCAAGAGAGAAATGGACTTGTAGTAGAGAGTTAGGATGTATGAACTCAGTCACAAATCCTGAGGGAACAAAGAAAATGAGATATTTTCTGATACTCAGAGATGTTCTTCCTCCAACTCCACCACTATTATTTGCTGCTCCTTTTACTTCAATTTGAACTCCATTAATTTCTACAGGCAGATGCAAGTTAAACTGCTAGGTAAGACCATCCCAAATACCAAAATATTTCTAAATCACCTTTAAACCTTGCAGCTACCCCCTTCTTTTTTTTTGTGAGTTTATGTTATCCTGATGGGAAGAAAATACACAATACCCATGCTTAAATGTTTGAATGTTCACTAATGATGCCCACTGCAAAATCGCTACAATGTAGTCTGAAAAAGAATAATGCTAATGGGGTGTCAATGATTACAACTAAATTACAATCTCCTAGTCTTTCATGATGTTTCACTTCTGGGAACAGAAGTGTTGACCTCCTAAAGGTCAACAGCATGGGCACCAAATAGACTGTGTGAGTTACATGGAGAGTGACAGTGACTGTCAATGAGCTCTGTCATTATCACTGCTTAATGCTAGGAGCACAGTCTGATTTTGATTGCATTTGACTCTGTAACTTCATTGACCATAATAGATTTAACCCTTATTATAGCCTGGGCAGACAGCAGTTCCTATAGTTAGGACAATCTGACCTTTGCCACGGCTAGTTGCTTTTAGCACTTTAGAACTTAGCCAGAAGTAATGCTATTTAGACCGTGACTTTTCATGCTGAGTACATGCTTATGGTTGGTATAGAAGATGTTTTAATTTATTTCAACAAATATGAACCATTTCAGGGAACAAGATTTATGCAGATAATTATTTATTTTTACTTAGGTATAGATGTAGATATAGATATCTTACAACTGTTTTGCTAAGAAACTTAAGTGCTTTTATCCACTGAGCACGCTAATTTTGCAGTGGTGTTACAGTGCTGGTGGGAAAGTGGCTTCCACTAAGTTAGTTGAAAATGCCACCTTAATATGACCGAAAAAGAAGTCTTGAAAAATTTCAGCTGAAAAGTTCTAGAGAAACTAGACACTTTCTTTTGGCATTGATGATCCTGTATGTCAAGAGTTTCTAAGCTTGCCAAAGAGATTTTTAGGAAAAGGTAGGAAATATGCTTTACCATATAATATGATATACATTATGATACCATTTTCAGTTGTATCATCATATATCATATTTTCTGCATTCACCATGAGAATTTTGGTGCATGAAATACAACCATACCACAAAGGAAGATCTTTTCTCTAGAACATACATCTCATTTGTCACAGAAGTTGAATAATAGAAAAAGCACAGGGCAAGGTGTAAGAGGAAGAGAAAAAAAAAGTTAATTAATTTGACTCCTCAGAGTGCCACAGAGCTCCAACATGAAGCTTTGCTTACCCTAAACCAAATCTTTCACATGCAGTTCTTAACTTAAAAGTCCTTAAAAGGAGGAAAAGTTCCTCCTTTTCTGGGAGACTACCTTGATACCTTTAAGTCTGATCTGTTGAAGTGTTGAGCGTTCAAGTCTACATCTGAAATCCAATGGACCTATGCTCTGAGGTTATAAAGTATCTGGTACTTGTTAACTCAAATAAAACTTCCCTAAGAAAATGTGGATGATGTAGCTACCTCCCCTCATATGGGTGTGGTAAACTAATTAATTACTGTTTCCGGAATATTTAGATACCCCTGATGAATGCTGCAAAACAGCCCTTAAGAGATACATTCTTCAGAGCAGAAATCTTAATTACACGTTGTAAATAAGGTAGGAAGCTGCATCAGTATGATTGTTCAACCATTCAGTGTACCAAAGATACAAAATGGGACAATTTTTTAGCATGCTGGGCAAACACACAAATGGGGTGAGGTACTGCACAGTCAAAACTACACAAGCTTTTTCAAATACTTCTGACTTTGTATTAAAAATGATTTTAAAATTGATAGCAAGCAAATAGCCAGCCAAACTTTACAAGGTCTTTGTTCTCTTTTCCCTTTCTCACCAAGAATGAGTTCTTTACAAAATGTAATTAAAAAAATAAATTTGGGACATATTCACTAACTATAGATAAACACTGCCTCCAACACTACTAGGAGAAAGGTTCATAAAAGGGTTGTTCAAAGCACTATGGCTTATTTCTTGGTAGCTTTTATTTCTTTGATTGCACGAAATCATTTAACACATACACATATTGCTGTTTATTTCTTCATTGCTTTTCATTTTTTCATCTTCTGGAAATGGGAAATATTTTATTTTGTACATACTTGCATGACTTTTGGCACGCTTTTTCAAAGGTACACAATTCCATGTCTATTAGCAAGTATAAACTGAGGTCAGAGTTCTCACATTTCATTTGCTCTCACTTTCCAGCAGTTCCCTCCACCGATCGGTAAAGCAAGATCTTGACCTTTGACTTCACTTATAGTGCGGGGTAAGAAACCTCACTGCGCACCTCTGACCAGGCTAGACGAGTGACTTCAGAAAATAAATGCTAGACAAGTTGAAGGGCAGGTTAAAAGGAACTTAATCGATGAGACAGTGCAGGAGACAAATTTAGTCCACACAGTACTGTGCAAAGACAGCTGAGCTTGCTGTGACAGTATTAGCTCCAGAATTAGCAGCAACACAGGGCATGGCACTGTATTGAGCCAATATACTGAAATGAAGCTGCTCTTCACCCCCAAAACCACTGTTCCTGCTCAGCAATTGGCTCTGCCGTCTGAATGCTTGTCTGCCCTAGCTCTGGCCCCTGTGAACTATGCTCCATAGCATTCACACTCAGCAAGGGCAAAGCAAAATATCTGTGAAGTGCGTCATGCTTACTTTTGTTTGTTTGCTGTTATCAGCAAATGGGAACACTAGCAAAGTCACAAATGAAAGCTGCATCAACAGAAAGACAGATCTAAGCCAGATTAACTGTTTATAGAATTATTTAGGTTGGAAAATACCCTTAAGATCAGTGAGTCCAACTATTTCTTCCCTCAGTGACTTTTAAAGATTAATGACTTCAATATCCACTTCCCTGTAAATATTCCACTGCTCCCAGTGAGGATCCCCTCCTATTTTGATTGTTAGAAACCAAGCAGATTCTTAGAATTTACATGATGGCAAGAATTAGAGGGGAAAATGCCTCCCTTATAAGGCCACTCTAATTTCAAAGCAAAACAGGAAGATGTTCCACAGGCACCATGCTTTGGAGTAAAACTTGCATTTGCTGCAATGCAATTCTGAGTAAAAATTTCAGCTCATTTCTGTCCTTTCTTTGGATCCATGTGATAAGCATAACATTTCATTCATGTCTTAAAATTTAGCATTTTAGAGGGCACAGTAGGCAACCTCTGAACAACCCAGCATGACTTTCTGATTAAGACAGCTAAGATGATCTTTGAATGCAAAAAGAAGAGAAAATAAAGCAGTTATGTGATATTGGCATTATGCTTCTCTTGGAAACAGTGAACAGTCAGTGAAGTAATAAAAAAAAAAATCCAAATCAGGCATTCCTACTTCAAAACGATAAAGACAAATTGCAAGGAATTTACAAAAGCAGAGGAGTGATTTGAGAGTCAAAAAAGAGGAAAGACTATACTAGCTATATAAATACTTTTCTGAAAGACAGGTAAACTATTTGTCACAGTCTGCATAAAATCTCTAGATACTGATACTAGACTATGTTTTCATGAAGAAAAAAAAAGTATGATGAAAGCTAACAGAAGTTAAGCCAAGACAAATTCAAACCGGAATTAAAATACATAGTTTTGATAACGAATAACTTTGTGACCCCTTTGCATAAATAATATAGATTCCCCTCACCACTTGAACCTTATGTCAAAAGCGGATAATGTTTTTGTAAGTAGTTTGTATCTCAAATAAAAGGTGTAGATTTGATGCACGAATTTTTAGCTGAGGATTTTAGGCAGAGAATGAAATTAGCTCTTCTGGTCTTTAGAATCAGTGGCACACTCAAGTTCACAAGGCAGTTCTGCAGTCCAATCAGGAACAGTCAGAGGTAGGCCTGAAGTTTAGATCTACCAAAAGGTAGAATGGAAATATCCTCACATCTAGGGTAATCTCACTGGCTGCCATTGTCTGAATTATGTAAGAATTACTCTTTTTAAAACCCAGTTTACGTCAAATTTAACTCCCATTGATTTTTGTCTTGTGCAACTGGAACTTTCATTCTGGTACAGCTCTGCCATGCCAAGTAAGAATGAAATTTACACTTCCTGGCTTAAATCAGATTTCCATTAGCTGCTCTACTAACAAAGCGGATCAGCTTTGCATAACAGTGAGCTCAGTGACAGCCGGGACAGTACTGTACTAAGTGGAATGAGAGCTTGTGCTCCTATATTGTCAGCATAAAGGCTCTTGACTATTCATTTTCATTGGGATTTTTAGTATTTTTCCTTTGAGATCTCTTGAGCTAGGATTCTCCACCACTTTGCAAACTAGATTCAGCTGCACTATGAGCTGTTCTATGAGCAGAATGTAAAATGTTGCTAGGTCTAAATAAAAGTGTTACACATTGGCATG